TCCCCGGCCGCTGCGCGGCGCGCCCTCTCTGGGCGCACAGCCCCCTCCCAGCCCGGTCCCTCCCCGCAGAGGAGACCACCCCGCGCCGTCCCGCGCTCGCCCCGGGTCGCCCGCCTCGAGCTGCCCGCCGTCCTAGCGTCTCTCAGCGCGGGCCAGCTAGGGACAGCCGGGATTCCTCTCCCCAGCCCGGAACACTTTTTTGTTTAGGGGAGTGGGGGGACCAGGGTCCAGTGGAGAGGGTGGGCGGGAGCCGCAGGCACCCACCCCGGGGACAGCCCCTCTCCGCCTCAGTCACCCCCCCTTGGAAATGGAGTGTTGATAGGGGCCGGCTTCTTCCTGAGCGCGGGCCAGGTGCCTCCACTGGGCACGCTCCACGCTGCAGCAGGTGCAGCAGCAACAGGTGCCGTCTCGCTGTACAGGTGAAGAAACCGAGACTCAGAGAGGCTGCGCCACTTGCCTTGGTTCACACAGCCAGAGGAGCCAGAGCCAGAATTTACACCCAGGTCTGTGTGGACCCCTCAGCCCCTTTGTCCACATCCCTGCCATGCCCCACCGCTCCCCTAGGGAGACTGCAGGGACAGAAGTGGATGACGGCAGTACTGGGGACCCCAAGAGGAGGTGGTAATGAGGGAGCCCGCCAATCCCTGTAGGAGAGAGCCCGGGGCAGAATAGGCTTCACCTGGAAGTACTTCAGGCCCCACTAGTTGGCCTATGGGCGCCAAGGAACAAGAATAGCGGGTTGGGGCCAGAGTAGGCCTGAGGACAGAGACAGGAGAGCAGTTCCTCTCTGGGGTCCCTCCGGGAACCCCGCCTCCACCTGGTACTCCTGGGTGCAGCACTTCTTGCAGGCCTGGCACATAACTGCCTGCTTTCCTGGCTTGCCCCGAAGTCACCTGTGGTTCTCACTGGGCAGGCTTGCTTAGGAGATGAAAGGAGGTGCGTGGTGTGAGGGCTTGGCCCAGTGCCTCCTGGGGTTGCCGCCCCACTCCCCACCCTGTAAAAGCACTTCTCTGTCCCGGCATCTGTGACCTGTGCCTCCCTGTGCCTTGTGTTGCTCAGGCCTGTCGGAGGTCTGCAGTGTTTCCGGGCAGCCCCACCAGCAACTGGAAGCTTCTTGAGTAAGACCAAGGTTGGGGGCAGCAACTTCTCCCCTTCTGACTCCTCAGGGGGAGAGGCAGGGGCGGACGGGGTTTTGAAAATCTCTGGGCTATGACTTGCACAACCCCAGTGAGGGCTTGGCCCAGTTGCCTCCGGGGTTGCCGCCCCACTCCCCACCCTGTAAAAGCACTTCTCTGTCCCGGCATCTGTGACCTGTGCCTCCCTGTGCCTTGTGTTGCTCAGGCCTGTCGGAGGTCTGCAGTGTTTCCGGGCAGCCCCACCAGCAACTGGAAGCTTCTTGAGTAAGACCAAGGTTGGGGGCAGCAACTTCTCCCCTTCTGACTCCTCAGGGGGAGAGGCAGGGGCGGACGGGGTTTTGAAAATCTCTGGGCTATGACTTGCACAACCCCAGAGCTGCTCTGCAGCCTCCAGCCTTCCCTGCCACGAGTGTAGCAAGGAGGAACCCGAGCGTTCTTGCCCTCAGACCTGTCCTTGCTTCCTCACTTGGGCCTAAACCCTCGCTCTCCCTTCTAGCTTTTTCACTGCGCTCCCCCATGTAAGCCAGGAGCAAGTTCTACCTGCGAGCATACCTTGAGTATACTCAGTTCTCTGCATCCCCACTTTGATCCCAAGTTCAAGCTGCTTTCCCCCCCACACGCATCCTGCCTTTTTTTTTTTTTTTAAGAGAGACTTTTTTGTTATAGGGCACATATGCTCACCAGAGAGACATAAAGCATGAAATCACCCCACACACACACACCCAGGAAATTCTCCTCCATTCTGCTTTCGAGATTTTGGACATGCACACGTGCTCAACCTAAGTTACTTTGCTTTTGTTTTTTTGGTAGAGAGATTTTTGCTATAGGGTGCACGTGCTTTCCAGAGAGGCAGAGCGAGACAAAGTGAGAAATCACCCAGGGAGGAGGGCCACAGTGCAGCCCCTTCTCCTCCATTCTCCTCTTGGGATCTTGAGCACGCACGCACCTGTGCCCAGCAAGAGTTTTAAGCTGCAGGGTCCAGGACTCAAACCGTGGTTGACTACGCGGGAGTCCAATGATGTAACCATTACACCATCTGCTGGTCCCGAGCCTGCTTTGTCTTTGCCGCCTCATGTCCTCCCTGCCTCCCCCCAGCTCCCAAATCCTAAGCGTTGCCTCCCGGGTCCTTCCTGCTCCCCCCCATGGGGTGTCCTTGATTCTTACCTCCCACGTGCACTGTCCCCTCGTTCCACTGCTGTCACCCTGGCCTTCCTACTCTTCTGAATTCTTTGCTCCCACAAGGCCTGTGTACATGCCCCTCCTTTTCCCAGGGTGATGTTC